TCTGCGTTTTCCCCTTTTTCGCTATTTCGGGTGAGGTTTTAGCAGTTTTGTTCTGAACTTCTCTGATAATGATTTAAAGGCGATTTTTATTGCCTACAACAGGTGAGGTGTCCCCTCCCTTGGTCCCATATTTTGGGTCTCCGTAGCAGCACTCGAATTGTTATCATGGCTTTGAATCAGTGAATAATCAGATGAGAGCACGCAAGTTCTTGTGATTAATGTCAGGCGCCTATCAACTCCAAAACCCACCGAAAGTGCACAGCCAATGTTGAAAAGGAGAAAGAAAACAAATGAGCGGGCCCCACTGCTACAGTAAAATATTAATATTTTATTGTGCATAGTGTTTTTCAAAAAACTATAAATAGGGCTCCAAATCCTTAAGGAAATCTCATCCCAGAAACTTCTTCTTATATAGAAGTGTGTGAGAGAAAAAATAGAGAGAGTATCTCCTTAGAAAGAGAGATTGTAACTCCAGAGTTTTCTCCTCATAGTGAATTCTTCTATCCTTGCCCGTGGACGTAGGCAATCAAGTGCCGAACCACGTAAATCTGTGTGTCCAACATTTTATCTCTACTTTTACTTTTCTATTGCTGCGACCCTGCTCTATTGGGCCCCGGGTTTGTCCCAACAAGTGGTATCAGAGCCAACTTCGGGTACTTGTATATATCTACTTATCGTATGCTCTGTGGCTGCCACCAAAGGTGGATCCTCCACATCAGAAAATAAGTTAGGTTATCACTTACCCTTTGGAGGCGACGGTACTATTCACGAGTACGGTACTGTTCATAAATACGGTACTATTCATAAGTACGATACTATTCACGGATACGGTTACTGTTCATAAATACAGTACTATTTACGTAAAATAGTAAGAAGTTACTGTTCGTGGTAGAAGCAATGGCGGCGAAGTTCAAGATCGAGAAATTCGACGGGAGTAATTTCTCACTGTGGAAGTTGAAGATAAATGCTATCTTGAGAAAAGATGGTGCAAGGCCGGACGACATCACAGATGATAAGAAGTGGAACGAGATGGACGAAAATGCTATTGCAAATCTCCATCTGGCATTAGCAGACGGGGTGCTGTCAAGCATAGAGGAGAAGAAGACAGCAAAGGAGATCTGGGATACTCTAACAAAGCTATATGAGGCGAAATCCATGCACAATAAAATCTTCTTAAAAAGGAGACTTTACACTCTGAGGATGGCGGAATCCACATCGATGACCGACCACATCAACACCCTAAACACACTGTTCTCCCAACTCACAACGTTGGGATATACAGTTGGTGCGAATGAACGTGCAGAACTTCTACTTCAGAGTCTACCTGACTCGTATGATCAACTCATCATCAACCTGACGAACAACGTCCTCACGGACAATCTAGTCTTCGACGATGTTGCAGCCGCTGTTCTGGAGGAAGAAAATCGGCGTAAGAACAAGGAAGACAGGCAGACAAGTTCTCAGCAAGCGGAGGCCTTGTCGGTGACGAGAGGAAGATCAACAGAACGTGGCTCCAGTGGGAGTCATACCCATGGTAGATCCAAATCAAGAAGTAAGAAGAATGTCAAATGCTACAACTGTAACAAAAAAGGCACGTCAAATCGAAGTGTTGGCACAATAAGAAGAGTGGAGATAAAAAGTCTTCAGAGCCATCAACATCCCAAGGATGTGTTGTCAGCACGTCAGAGGATGGTGAAATTCTATTCAGTGGAGCAACCACTGTTGATGAAGGCAGAAAGAAGTTTGCTGATGTCTGGCTTCTAGATTCAGCAGCCTCTTGGCACATGACCTCTCGGAGAGATTGGTTTCACAAATATGAACCTATCTCAGGAGGATCTGTATTCATGGGGAATGATCATGCCTTAGAGATTTGTGGTATTGGTACTATCAAAATCAAAATGTTTGATGGTATAATACGCACCATTCAAGATGTGCGACATGTGAAGGGCTTGAAGAAGAATCTATTGTCTTTGGGACAATTAGATGAGCTCGGGTGCAAGACTCATATAGAAAATGGAGTCATGAAGATTGTTAGAGGGGCGCTTGTGGTGATAAAAGGAGAAAAGATAGCTGCAAATCTGTACATGCTCAAGGGAGAGACTCTGCAGGAAGCTGATTCATGTGTGGCATCAACCAGCCGTGGAGAAGAACAAACCATGATGTGGCATCGCAAGCTAGGCCACATGTCAGAACGAGGCTTGAAGGTTCTCTCCGATCAGAAACTGCTTCCTGGACTTAATTCGGTAGCTCTTCCATTCTGCGAGCATTGTGTTACAAGCAAGCAACATCGACTGAA